AGGACAGGCCTAAGGCAGAGGCTGTGGGTCAGGGACAGGCTGGGGACAGGGCTGTGGGGCAGGGCTGGGGCAGGCTGTGGTACCTCGAGAGCCTCCTGTTGAACTATACCTAAGATGTCTTCCACGGCCTCATGCGGGGCTGGGTGGCAGGCATACCCTTCAGTTATGCCTTGTCTCCTAGTTGTCAGTGCCTTTGTGTGGCCCTGTCTGCCCACGTACTGTACTGCCCCTGGCACAAGCAGACATGGGGGCTTTCATGTTATGAGTTACGTTACCTACCATACCTGATATGTAAGCAGACCTATGCGGTACCAAAGGGTGCCATTTCATGACACTCTTCATTGAATCAACTCTAGATTGCTGTAGACCAACTGTACAAGTGGTCTTCCAGCTGACCTTAAAAAATCACGTAGGATGATACTGCTGCAAGTGTCAGCCAGTGGGATGTTGCATGGTTAGAAATGGGCAAGGAGATCATCTCACCATGGCAAATAGGCAAACATGTCCACAAGTAAGCCCCGTTCCTCAGATGTAGTCTGTATGTTGAAAGTGTTTGAGAACCCCCAGCTAGCTTCTGTTTTCTGCCTACTTCCAGGTGGGGAACCACTGATGGAAGAAAACCCAAGGAACCCATTTGCAGAATCTGAGAATTAGCTTGGGATAGTCCTAAAAGGCTGCCTGGCAGCCAGGCATTTCTCAAGGAGCCAAGTCCTGGTTACGCATATATCCTTAATTTAGCCATTGCTTAATAATATATGAATGGTAAAGTGCAACTTTCAAAATAGTGTCCTAATATAAAATCACAACAAACACCCTTGGGATCATTTTCAAAGAAAAGAGGTTGAATAAAAATCAAAAGGGGATAGTCTCTGAGGTTTGAGGATGTGCTGACTGCTTTCATAAAAGGCAGCTGAGCCAGAAAGGCTCTCTGCCAGGGATTTCTCCACAGTCTGTCTTCTGAGGGCTAATATCCTTGAACAAGACCACCTGGTGTCAACTGCTTTTAACCACAGCCTCCTGCCTACCAAATGAATACACCAAACATTGCCATGTTCAGGAAGTGTGTGGAGGCAAACTAGATGAAGCCTAGGAGCAGGCACGCGTGGCTAGCCTTTGTCTACCTGCCCCACGTCTTCCGCACCAAGTGTCTCATGACCGTGCATGTCCCTGAGGCAGGTGGGTTCGTCCCAGGGCTGGGGTCGGGGCTCTGCTGGCTACAGCAGTGTCTCTGAAGCACCCTGTGATAAGCAAGGGACTCAGTGTTGCTGCTTTTCCTGTGTAGTTCCATTTCCTGGCCATGTCCTACGCCGCAGACCTCCAGGCCAGTCAAAAAGCCTCCATGTCCCCATGGTGGGCGATGCTGGAAATGCCTGTGTGCATTTCATGGGAGCTGGGCAGCACCCGGAGCTCTGGGCTTGTTTCTTCCTCACCTGCAGTGCCGCATGCCTCTACCCCAGCATATTTGCATCATCTCACCATCCTGGGTCCTGGATGGGGTTTCCAGGCCAAATGCTAGGGGGGTATTGCTTGTGCTGTCGGGCCCTCTGCCCACTTGGGCAGCCAGTAGCTTGGCACAAGCACTGGCACACCCGACCCCAGGGGCTATGAGCTTTGGAGACAGCTGAGCAACGGGGAAAGTGGCTGGACCCCAGCGCTGGACCTGACCTCCTGGACATCCATCTGCATATTCAGAAGTCGTTCCCAGCCGGTTGGCTGCCTCCGGCCTCCCCACTCCCTCTTTAAAGGACCTGAGCGCAGCGGGAGGACGGAGGACGTGCTGGCGCTGCCTCTGCAGCAACCCCCGGCCCTTGGCCGCCTGCCCTCGGGGTGCTGCGCTCCCTGTGCCTCTGCGAGCCAAGGTGCAAGGTGAGTGGGGCGGAGAGATGTGAGCGGCTCGGGTCGGGGACTGCTCACTGAAGTCAGAGGGATGCGGCGACTGGGGAAGGCTCTGGGGGGATATTTGCAGTGCTGGAGGGGCGGCAGGCTGCTCTGTGCATAGCTCTCCCACCAAGGAGACCCTGAGGAGCCTGTGTGGGGTGGCTCCCATTTTGGAGAGGATGTGCTTGCCTTCACTTCTGAGCATCTTCGTTTTGTTCCTCCGTCTTTTTCTTCAGGTAAGAGGAGCCTTGGCTGCTTTTTAGTGTTTTGGAAGATAGCACTGGTGAAGGCTGGTAGTAAGAGTAGGAACTGAAGCATGCATCTGCTAACTCAGCAGCAAAAGGGCTGCATCAGCGGGAGCAGTTTGCTTGGGGCAGCACCTCCCGGTCCTGCAGTGCTGGGCAGGCTGCAGCGGGGGGAGCCGAGGCCACCCACAGCGGGCTGCCTTGGCCTGAGACCACGGGTTCTGCTCCCACCCTCCAAATCTGTGGCAGCTCAGGTGGCCCAAAAGATGGTGGTGCTGGAAGCCTTAGGCAACTGGAGGGTTTCTTGCCAGCTCTGAGTTGATCTGCTTACGAGGGGTGTATTGCCCCAGGTTTTTGGGGCTGGGAAGCCTCAGCATAGGGAACAGGTAAGTTCCCTGACCTTGCTGCTGAATACAAAGGAGGTGAGAAATTGTGACCAAATGCCAAATGAAGGTGTTTCTGTAACAAACCAAGCGAGGTAGCAGGACTGGCCGTCTCGCGCCCATGCCAGGCAGAAAGGCTTAAGGATGGATGAAATCTATGACTGCGCTGTATTTGCTGTGTTGCTGTGTTGGAAGTGGCTGGCAGCCTAAGAGGCAGCCGCAGGCGATGGTGAAGCTCGTTGTAAGAGGGTGGGGAGCGATGCTGAGAGCTGCTGGCACCCCGGCCTAATGCTGGCTGTGATTAAACCGAGCAGTTTGAATGTCCCTCACGGCAGACTGTTAGGAAAATGAAATCCTAATGGTTGGGAGGGGTGGGGAGACAACGCGGGAGAACAACAAGTGGTGTCAGACAGCCCAGAAAATACTTGGTTTGTCAAGACTAGAGCTCTGCAAAAGGTAGAGCTCACCCACATAACTGCCTGGAATACAGGGCTGTTTGAAGAAAGGCAACCTGCTAAAAAAACAGTGAGTAGAAACCCATTTTCTACACTGCTCATTAGCCTGAGAGACCTGCCATGGCGCAGATAGTCATGGGGACAGGAGGCTGATGGTGTTGAAAATGATCAGACATTTCTGGGTATAGCAAAAGAATCTCAGACACTTTAAAGATACCTGGAAAATGTATAAACCATCTTACTTCAGGGATGCAAAGCTACTGCTAATTAATGTGGATGAGGAAGAAGCATCCCACAGGGAAGATTACTCTGTAACTGCCCAGGATACGAGCTTTTGCATCTTCTTTTGCAAAACTATCTGAGCGAGCAAGCAAGCAGAAGGGGTAGATTCCTGCCTGGAGTCAGCATGACAATTTTAAGCTGGGGGCTGCTGGCTCAGTAGTTTTTCTCTGCCCCAGTAATCCCCATCCCCATTCCTTTTATTCTGTGTTTTAACAAGTGCTTAGGAGCACTGTGCTGCGTTAGCCTGAACATCCCTGTGTGTCGTGCTCACAGCAGGTCATATCACGCTTTCACCCTCGCTGTGGACCTTCCCACCAGCCTGTTTGTGCTGCCCTGGTCCCCCGGCACTGCTGCCCATCACTGTGCCCTTAGGGCTGTGGTGGCGGGTGCTGGGTGCCGGCAGAAGCACGCAGCAGCCATGCTGCTATGTGCTGTGAATGCCTTTGCGAGGGATGTAGCTGCCATCCCTGTGCCCTGCCAGCACCCAGGAGCACACAAAACCACCTTTGCCCAGGTGTGCGTGGCAGAGGGCTCCATCTCGTGCTCACTACCCTTGTACCCGAGTCCACGAGCCCAGAGGGGAGCTTCCCCGAAAGCCTCTGGCATGGGTGCAGCTGGTGGCGTGGGAAGCCAGCGCTGCTGGGCACACCCAGGGCCCAAACCAAGTGCAATGAACTCCGGGCACCGTGAATGCCTGACTGGTACGTGGGAGTTGTGGCAGTGTCCAGGGCATTGCTGCTGTTTTGTGACACCCGACAGCCTGCTCACGGATTTGTCAGTGCCTGGAGCAGGGGATGGCCTGGGAACAGGGGTGCCCAGGGAATCTGGGAGGAGTATCTCTTGCCTGCTGTATGAGGTTCTGCCCACTGACATTTCTTGCTTCTTCTCCAGCTCCACACTGCTAACAGGCTGAAACATCAAACACCTGGGAAGCCTGCCAGTCTGTCACTGGAAATTATCCCCAACCAGCTGAGGTTCAGCTCCCTGGTGTCCAGGCAGGAAGAAGAGATGATGGATGGTAGGATTGCCTCTGAGCAGGACAGAGGCCATGCCACTTCAGGGCATGGCCAGCGCCTGAAGTTGGAGCCCTGTTTCCAGACTGACTCTCTTTTGCCTTCTCCCAGTGCATCCCTGATGTCACAGCTCCTCAGCCACCCAATAGTTGGCAGGAGCCTGGATCCCACCATCCTTTTCCCTTCAGCTCAGGCAGTGGCCCTGCCTCAGGACTACGAGTGTGGTGCATCTCCTGGAGAGGGAGCACAAGCCCTGGCTTTCCCCAGGACCCGTGCCCCAGCTCCCATGCCCTGTGCTTCGGAGAGGGACCAGCTCTCTGATCAGCACCTACGGGACCAGCTCTCTGACCAGCACCTACAAGCCAAGCGGGCCAGGGTAGAGAGCATCATCCAGGGCATGAGCCTCCCACCAACCCCTCAGGCATTTGGCACCAGCCTGGAGGCAGCTTTTGGGCACGAGAGGGAGAGGGGCAGCGAGATGCGCCGGGAGAGCAAGAGGAAACCGAGGGTGCCCCAGCAGGGTGCAGGGGTGGTCAAGCGAGTGGCTCCCGGGAGGGCCAGTCCCCATGCCAAGGGCTGCCAGCAGCTCAAGGAGCAGCTCTGCTTTTTAGAGCAGCAGCTGAGACAGCTTCAGGAGAAGTTCTCCCAGGTCTGTGATGCTGGGGATGCTGCCCAAACCCGGGAAGGTGCTGAGAAAGTGCATTCATTGCCTGGAAAGCCTGGAGACAGACTGGACAAGGACAGTGCCGCTGTCACCAGCGACCTGTGCAAAACCCCTGTCTGGAGGAGCATCCTGGAGGTGCATGGGCCAGAGGAGGATGAGGACAGAGATGAAACAGGTGGCCTGCCCTCAGCAACGAGGGTACTCTCACAGGCGCTGAAGCACGAGCTGGCTGGGGTGATGTCTCGGGTGGTGGACTCTGTCCTAAAGAGTGTCTGGCCAAAGGCAGCCAGCCATCTCCTGCAGCAGCACCACAGCCTCCCGGTGCCAGGGCCAGATGCCAGGAGAGAGTATTTTCCTGCTGGGAAATGCAGAAAGCCACTTGCTAAGCCATCTCCCATGAATGCACTGGGCTTGCTGGGCTCACCCCAGGCTGAGGCCCTGCCAGGAGCTTTGGGGAAGAGCCCAGGCTCTCATGCTGGCTCCTTCAGTCCAAAGGGGGTCAGAAAACCCTCTCAGGTACCCAGCAGGGGTTATTCACTGGGCTCAGCCACCCCTATCCAGGACAGCCAGCTGCTGAGCCAGCTGCTGGGCTACAGCCAGCATGGCCTCTGGGTTAGCGGCTCTCGTGGGAGCCCCTCTGCTCCGGAGAGGGGTCCTCCAGAGCCCCTTGACTTGCACTGGGGAACTGTCAAACTGAGGTCGTCAGTCGTGAGACAGCAGCAGCAGCATTCCTTGCCCCTGAGCCCTGCTGACGTGGAGAGCCTGGCGCTGCTGCCGGCTGGCAGGGATGGCCACAGGGAGCTGCAGGCTGTGATGGATGGGGTGCACTTCGCCTCCACCCATATATCCTTTGGGGATAGCTGGATAGGTTCTGGGCTCAGCTGGAGCTAGAGAGGTCCCTGAGCTTGGACGTGCTCCCCTTGTCCTTTGGAGCCACAGCTTGGCACGGCCCCTGCCAGTTTCCCAAGGGCCAGGGTCCCCACTGCTCCACAGGGGGCTAAAAAGGGGTGAGCAGGAAAGAGGTCCTGAGCCGTGAAGGGGCACTGCTGCTCCTCAGGGTTGGTTAGATGCTGTAGCGTAGCTGGGGGTAGAAGTCAGGAGCTCCCAAGCCTGCTCTTAGGCCATCCTGGCAGTCCCATCATCCTATGATGGGAACAGGTGTCTCATGGAATTCCCTGTTCCCACCAGCCTGGGAAGCGCCATGGGGAGCAGCAGCTTTGCCGGTGGTGCTGAAGGGAAAAATCCAGTGGCTGCCCAGCCAGGGATGAATCCCCTCCACCTTGCTGCCAGGCTGTGGGGAGGATTTATTGTGGGCACCAGGCATATATGTGCCCGGGCCAGTGCTCAGGGACGTGCCGAGCCAGTCGGGCTGCTGTGTGCAGGCTTTCCTTGACCCCCAGGCAGATGCAGGAGGCACTGACCCCCGGCCACCTGAAGAAAGCCAAGCTGATGTTTTTCTTCACCCGCTACCCCAGCTCCACTCTGCTGAAGACCTACTTCCTCGACGTGCAGGTAAAACAGCAGCACCCAGCACCGGTGCCAGGCAGGGCTCCTGCATGGTGTGGCACCCAGCCCGCCTCGCTGGGGAACCGCGGGGAAGGGGATGCTCTCATGTCCTCCCCCTCGCTGGCAGGAGTTGGGGGACTGCACCCACTTCAACACGGGCTGCCAGATCTTCTCTCTGTGCAATCGAGGTGTTGGGATTAAAGCACACCATGAACGTGCCTCCCCACTGCAGGGCAGCTGGGATCCAAATCTCAGTGGGGAGAGGCACCATGGACACCCCCACGTCACAGTCCTGGCTGGTGCTTTTGCCCCGCTGTGCCGGGCCTGGGTTTGGGGCCAGGCCAGCGGTGCGTGGCTGGGCTTGTGGGTCAGGAGGCTCCAAGCTGGCGTAACACCCGTCCTCCGGCTCTCCCCCTGGGCAGTTCAGCCGCTGCATCACCTCCCAGCTCATCAAGTGGTTCAGCAACTTCCGCGAGTTTTACTACATCCAGGTGGAGAAGTTTGCCCGGCAGGCCCTGCTGGAGGGTGTCGTGGATGCTAGCACCCTTTGGGTCTCCCGGGACTCGGAGCTTTTCCGTGCCCTCAACATGCACTATAACAAGGGGAACGACTTCGAGGTGAGGAGGGGGAGCTGGGGGGCA